AAAGTTTAAAAAATTAACATTAACTGATACTGCGGCTTACAATCCGGTGCGGCTTATGGTCGTGAAAATACGGTATGTTAAATATTTTCTAAAATCTCTGAATTAACAGTGTGTGCATTGAGATTAAATAATTTGCAGCAGAATCCTCTGCATATTTTTTCTAAAAATAAATCAAACTATGTTCAGTGGAGTTTATTATTTGATGAGAGTTTAGCTGGTTTGTATTATTAAAGATTGATGAATTATAAAATAAAACAATGGGGAAAGTTTCTGTCAAAATGTGTTGATTTATCACATAGTTTCAAACTTCTTTTTTAAAAACTAAAGGGAAGGGAAAATGCTTTTTCAGTGATATTTGATATTGAGCAAATAATTTAGCAAATATAAACATAACACATTTTTTGTGGCAATTTGCAACTTGCTGTAGAGTTGGATACTATGAAGCAGTAATATGAACGCTGACAGCAAATAAATAATTAAGCTAATTAGCAAACATCAGCTATTTTATACAATTCCAAAAAGAATTCACACCATTTAAAATAGAAGAGTAAATTTACTAACATTTTCCCAATCTCCAGGTGCTAAGTTTGTGAAACTAAAAAATGAATATTCTATAATTGCATCTTAATAACATTTACAAAAATTAATAACAGAAGCTTTTTTTACTTAAGAAAGAAATAAATGAGTAAAAGGGAAAATAAAATTCAGGGTAATTTTTATTATGGCGGCACAGTAATTAGAATGCAGTATTGCAGTCTTAAAAACTCTGCCTACAGCCTTGAGTTCAATCCTGACCAGCTCAAGGTTGATTAGGCCTTCCATACATCCAAGGTCGGTAAAATAAGGACCTATATTGTTGGGGGCAATATGCTGACATTGCAAATTGCTCAGAGTGTGCTATAAAGCACCATAGAGGTATATAAGTCTAAGTGCCTTTGCTTATTATTTAACAATATTTAATACTTAATATTCATGGTAAATAATTATTTGTCTATAATATAAGAAAGAATGCAAAATATTCTTCTGTATCTTCTTAATTAAGGGATACATGGACTGTAGAGTTAGTTTGCTTAATTTCACTGGGCTGTATCCTAAAAACAGTAGCTGGAATCTAGCTTCTGGAAAGTGGAGGCCTTGTAACCTCTGTCACTAGAGCTGCCAGTACGCTCAGTTTTTGGCACCCCTTCAGAATTAATACGTTTTACCTTAAATCTAAGCAATGTGTAATTCAATATAATGTATTAATAGTTGAGAAACTCAAACATCTTAGTTGTGAATACTTAATGTGAGGGTGGCACTACTCTTATTTGTACTAAATTGGACCACTCTGAATTCTGTCTATAAAATTAGAGTTTAACAATGAGGAAAAGAGGCAAGGACTATATAAATTACAGAATGCTATGCACACAGAAAATCATAATATTTTCACAGCTTCAATACATAATGTTACAGATTAATTGTTACAAACTACTGTAAACCTTACAGATTAATTTTCTACATATGTGAATGTACAGCTGAGAATTTAAAACTAATTCGTTAGTTTTAAATAGAAAAAAACTAATATTTATAATAGAAACTTAAGAGAAATATCAGTTGAATTGAACCAGAAGCAAAATGCACATCTTCTAGAACTCATGACATGAATCCAGTTCCTAGTGAAAATCAATAAAAATATTTCCACTGACAGTTTTTAGTATCACAAGTTTGCCACAGGCCGGTTGTATTTGTGTAATAAGTTCACATGTGCATGTTATACTTACCTAGCAAAAATACAGGATGTACACTAATTATTTATTGTATTTATTTATACAAACTAATAGTATTCATTTAAACAAAGTAATAAACTTGGCTTTAATTAATATCACAGCTCCATGTATTTCTGGTTCTTTCCAATCCTGTGATGTTCCTGTTTTGCAAAAGGATAAAATTTGTGTCATGCTTTTTTCAAAAAAGTACTTGTCAATTATCAAAAAGATTAAGATAGAATAACAATTATTAAAATTTCTCAATTCCTCAAACTATGTTTAACCAATCCATTAATATAGCTTCAAGAAAATATAACAATTTATCCTACTTTTTAGTCTGAAAACACAAACTACACTCAAACATACATGCTTTGATGCAGTCCACAAGTATTAACACAATGTTCAAGTATATGGAACTACTTCACATTGATTGATAATTCTACGAGCTGCAGACAGGATTGCTTGAATAGTTGAGAAAAACAATGTGGAAAACATATGTAAATACATTGTGTAATTGCATACAAGCATATCACGATTTTAACTCCCATGCATAAATTTTTCTATGCTTTGCAACTCTATCCACATACTTCACGAATTGTCTCTCAGATGATCTTATGTCAACCACAAAAACTTACAAACATAATTCTAGGCTCAATTATGGTTGTAAGTTTACTCCTCTTGTAGTCCAGTCTAGCTTCATCTTGCTTAAGGAGTTAATTTCATAAAGCAAGCTTACAAACTTGGATTTGTAATAGTTTTAGGAAAGGCAATTAAGCAGTACATTGGATTTCATTATTTTATTAATATTGTCATTTAATCATGTTTTTTCTCCTTTCTAAATGTTTGATTATATTTGCATATTGTGTGCGTGTGTGTGTGTGAGTGTGTGTGTATTCGTATATATGGTCTTGTTGTATTTGGGTCTTTTCACATATACATACATACATACATACATACATACATACATATGCTGGTCTTGTTGTATTCGGGTCTTTTCCCTTGTAAGATT